ACCGCAAATGTTTAAGACAAAACATGCAAAATTGTGAAATGTAGATGCATTATTGTGATTTAAAAAATGAACAAACCTATTTGGTTTAATTATAGTCACATTAGAGTTGAAACAAGTTTCTTTGCAGCACGTGTAGTTGTAAGATGCATTTGTTGTGCTTAATGCACTTGGAATGTAAGAAGGATGTGTGATGCATTTGTATTAGAGTGAATATGCAGATGTTTAATTTCTGAGATGCATAATTGTAATGAAAATGTCTTGTGTTTGTGTGTCATGTGTATGCATGATTGTGTGATACAAGATGCATTTAAAGTTAATTGAAAATGAAAGTGTGATAACAGCAATGCATAGTATTGGATCAATGTTGAGAGAAGTTAGGTGCAACATGTGGAGTTGTAAGATGCACTAGTTGTGGTTATTGTAGTTGGAATGCGAAACAATTTGATGATGCATAAGTATTATGTTTAAATTGCAAAAGTTTAAGAAATGAGATGCACTATTTTGATATATATGAGTTAGTGATGTAGTTGCATAATTTTATAGTACAAGATGCATTTACAGTTAAGTGAAAATGAAAGTGTGATAACAGTGTGATGCATAGTATTGGTTCAATATTGATAGAAGTTAGGTGCAACATATGGAGTTGTAAGATGCAATACTTGTCCTTAATTCAGTTTGATACAAAACAATTTAATGATGCATAAATATTATGTGTAAGATGCATTAGTTTAAGAAATGAGATGCCTTGTGTTGATGAATATGACTTATGCTTGTGAGTCACGTGGATGCATAATTTTATGGTACAAGATGCATTTAACCAAACCAAGTGTTGCAGGTCTCATAACAGTTGGATTAGTACTTGTGCTTATGAGTTAGGTAGTACTGTAAAATTTTGATTGAAAGTCAAAGTGTATATGCTCACATTGAACCTTATTCATATTGTGATTTTTGTATGTGACTAGTACAAGTAAGCTAAACAATGGCATGCACATATAATACAAAATGAAGAAGAGAATCAAGTGATATGAACAAAAAGAAAACAAGAAGGTGCATTGACAAGCAATGTGCAATAGAACAAAAAGGGCAAAGGAAAGAAGAAAAAATGCAAATGTTAAAAACTAACTTTTGACATATAAGATTCATTTAAAATTGTGAAAATCTAATTTGAATTTATGTCATTACATTAGGAAGAGACGCTCCTGTGATGAATATGCAGCATGATGAGCGCAGAGAAATGAATTGAAAGGCAAAGGCAGGAAAACAAATTCAAGTTTAATTTGTTATGAACTTTAATATCATAGATTCCATACAGGTGTTGAGATCTTTACAAAAGATATTTTGTCATGTATAATATGACATTGACAATTGTAATATGCAATACAAAACATATAAAAATGCAACATTGTGAAGTATAAGATGATATTAGCAGTTATATGCCCTTGTTATAGAATGATTTATAAACAAATATTCATTAATGCAGTACTTGTCATAGAATGATGCATAAACGAATATTCAATGATGCAAATGGTAAAGCAGGGACCGATAAAGCCAAACAATAACAAAAAATTGAAAATAGATACTACAAAATTAAAATACAAAACAATTAATATAAAAGTATATTAATTTCCAACGTACAGTTTGTACGTATAAGCAATGTCAAACAACATCAATAACAAACGTAAACTTTAACTTAAAGCAAGCCTATTTATTCAAAGGCAATTCCCACTATCGTGATGCGCCATCTCATTGCATGATTTACAAAGTCTTTTGGGGCGTTGAGATTCTTCAATTGAAACTTCCTTGGAAGACGTCATCCTACGTCCAGAACTCTTATTTTTGCCTTCTGCGGGGGGTGCACAGTCACTTCGAACGACACACAACAACCACAAAATGATTCAATTAATGACTTGTTTGTTGAATCATGACCAACACCTTTATGTACAGAAAGGAAAAAATCCTTTTGATCTTTAATTATACCTGAAAACTGCTTCAAGTAGCTGGGATTATTTTCAACAAAGGCCATACAGGCATATATGTGAGACCATAGTGTTAACAGAGATCTTATTCTTCCTTAAAAAACAAAGATCTTATTCTCCTCCATCAATAAAGTCTGCTCAAATATGGAATCAGAAATTGAAGTCAATGGCTTCACTAAACCCTTTTTGCACTATCTGCTATTAATCAAATATCAATCCAACAACCGGTTTCTTTTCGGGTGAACATTCAGGGATCCAATACTTTGAACCCCCATGAGAAATTTGAAAACCACAATTCGGATCTATATAAACAACAAACGATCTATGATATTAAACATGAACAAAAACTAATATTAAAAAACAATAAAAATATTAGTTCACTAAATGCACCATACAACACAAACAAAAGCATAATACATATTTTACCTTACAGAAGACAAAAATGGAAAACAAACAGAATTTCAACAAATATTAAAATAATTATGTAATCTCTTTACGGTAATGAAGCTGTAGTTCGATTTCATTCATAATTCATATACAATAGAGTACACATAAGGAAAACATACATACAAAGTGAAAAAAGGTAACATTATCAACATTTAATTATGAAATCTGTTAGTTAGAAGATACATGATAAAATCGACCTAAATTGCGAATCAATTGCACGACCTGGACACACGAACAGAAAATACGATCAACATCTGAAGTTTTGTGTGTGTGTATAAAACGGAGTTCATGAAAAATATATGAGTACCTGATTCCATGGCGTTCTATGTTAATGAAGAGAGATGATTAATTGTAGCAAATCATAATCCACGATGAAGAAGACAAGCGCAGAGATGAAATCCATGATCGATCGGAAAGATGGAATGAGAGAATAAACGGAAATAAAGCGGTTATGAGACTGGAAAGTAACCAACGTAATTTGTGTTCCATTATAGAAGTGGATTAATTGACTAAAACACCCTCAATTTTAATTAGTTGGCTGTGAACAGTTAACATAGATACAAACGGTGATCTGCACTAAATGAATGGCTAGGATTAGTTTGTAGGTTAGTAAATTAAACCTAGTTTGTATTTGATCTCTAATATATATATATATATATATAGGGGGGAGATCACATACAAACTCCTCTTCCGGTGCAAACTACAAACTAATTCGGGCTGTTCGTTTGCAACAAATGAAGCGTGATCTGTCTACAGTGCATAGTATTAGATGTAGGCTGCGATGCACAAAATCATATAATAAATTCCCACTACGCCGCATCCGTTATTCCCAGGGTTACTACAGTAAAATTGCAAAACAAATTCCAAGCCTCGCTTCTTATATTAGGAAATAGTAAATTACACAATCCCTGATTCTACGCTAACCATCTCATGATGCAATTAACCGTCCAAGCATAAGGAATCTAAAAAGGGTAAACTGTAGAATCCATTCTTAGTGGAAGTTGATCGTAAAGATACTCGTAGACTGGTGCAAGGCTTTTAGAATAAAACTTCTTGTGAAGAATCAAGGCCCAATATTAGTATAGACAATGACTTTTCAAGAAGAAAATTATATGAAGAAGGAAAATCGCAGGAAACTTGAGGATGGTGACCGATGAAATTCGTTTCAAACTTGATAAAGTGCATGTGTGTGCTTTAAGAGTGCTATGCAATGTTGAGGCTTATTTGGTGCAAGCATTTGTGAAAACAATGCAATAGAGTGTGTAATTCAATTTGTGTTTTTTAGATATTAAGTTAGTAATGAGGTGCATGTGAAGGCATTGTATGATGTAGTAACTTGTTATATGAGGTGCATGTTGTAGGTTAGTAGTAATGGCTACCACAAATGTTGAAATCATTGAGCTGCTTGAAAATAGTTCACTGTAAAAATGTCATATGTGTACTATGTTGTTGATATAGTACATTTATAAGGTACATGATGCATGATTGTATGATAGTAGATGCATTTACACCCAAAATATGCACTTGTGTTAGTGAGGATGGTATATGCATAAAGATTGCTTAAAGGATGCATGTATAATGTAATTACAATGCATCCTTAGGAAAGCATTAATGAATGTGTGTGAGTCCATATTTTTTGCATACTATAACATGAATATACATTTTACATGTTTCTGTGAAAGAAGTTTGGTGCAGCAGTTGTAGTTGGAATAAGCATTGGTGGAAACAAATGGTAGTTTGAATTTTTAATAATTGTTAATGTGATGAGAAAAGCTAAACCCTTACATGTACATCTATGTAATAGAAAATGCAGAAGAACAACAAGTGTACCTGTAAGATGAAGTTGTTCTAGGGAGGAAAGTAGATGCATGACTATTAGGTATAAGATGCAGCAGTTAAAGCTAATAGATGCAAGTTTTTGAATTAATTTTAGTTGTTTTGTGATGAAAGTTTTAATGAATTTTACTTATGTTGAAGTGCCTGGTCTTTCATGAAGTACATTTGTAAGGTACATGATGCATGATTGTATGATAGCAGATGCATTTACAACCAAAATATGCACTTGTGTTAGTGATGATGATATATGCATAAAGATTGCTTAAAAGATGCAAGTATAATGTAATTGCAATGCATCCTTATGAAAGCATTAAAGAATGTGTGTGAGTCTATTTTTTTGCATAGTCTAACATGAATGTATATTTTACATGTTTTTGTGAAAGAAGTTTATTGCAGCAATTGTAGTTGCAATAAGCATTGATGGAAATAAATGGTAGTTTGAATATTTAGTAATTGTTAATGTGATGAGAAAAGCTAAGCCCTGACATATACATTTATGTAATAGAAAATGTGGAAGAGAAACATGTGTTTGGAGGAAAAAGAAAATAAGAAGGTGCATCAAATAGTAAGATGCAACAGAACAAAAAGAAAAAAGAGATGAGGAAAATGTCAAAAGGTTACACACTTGCAATGTTCTACATTTAAGAAGCATTTGATATTCTGTAAATGTAATTTGAAATGATGTCATTAAAAGTGGAGCAGATGGGCCTTTGGTGAAACAGGTTTGAGGCAGGATGCATATGCAGCGTGATGAAGTGTAGAGACCTGAAGTGAGGAGCAAAGGCATGAAGTTTTATTTGTTATGCAGACTTAACAGGGCTTTACATCCAATCCTAATAGATACTCGTTTCCTACTTGTGGAGCAATCTTCAGAACCAGCAACTTCAATCCTATTAGATACTTGTTTCCTATTTTTCGAGCAATCTTCAGAACCAGCAACTTCAATACTATTAGATACTTGTTTTCTATTTTTCGAGCAATCTTCAGAACCAACAACTTTGGTATCTAAAACAGGACATGCATTATTCTTAAAACCAGCTCTATTACATAGTAAAATATAATATACTTCATCACTATGTGATCAACTCTACCCTTCTTTGATGTATGATGACGAATAGCAAACCCCACTGCAGCCGCATATTCCTTGTGAAAACTAAAATCAGCATCTAGATTAGGAAATATCATGCCAGCAACTGATTTTTTTTCGGGTGAACATTCTAGAATCCAATACTTTGAACCCCTAGGAGAAATTTGAAGACCACAATTCGCATCTATATAAACAACAAACGATCTCTAGTATTAAACAAAAATGAAAACTAATATTAAACAACAATAAACATATAATTTCAGTTAATGCATCATACAACATAAAAAGATGCATAATACATATTTCACCTTGCAGATACAACAGAAACAGATACATATACTGAATTGATTGTGTAGGTGCAACAGGACAGTACAAAAGATGCATTGATCCTATGTAAAAGTGCAATCGGATTGCATGTAGGTTGTTTTGAAATTAATTATTTATATGATTATTGAATGCAAACTAGTTGTTAAATATTTTATTTAATACATGAATTCATTTTATGTGAGGCGATATATAGCTTAATGTTTATTTGTTATTAGACACATACATGAACATGGATTGGATGCAGTAGCAACTGTGAAATCGAGGAAGAGGATTGCAAGACATGCAGCAGCGAAATCACCCTACTTAACTAGGATTATTCATCCTATTGAAAGTAATTATGAAATTAATTCGTGAGAAGAAACATGATAACATTCATTAATTAACAAACCTACTATGTGAAGTGATGTAATGTTATCAAAAGCAATTACGAAAATCATTTGTGAGAATAAAAAGGATAACATCAGCCTCTAGTCCGAATCAATTAAAATAAAAATGCACAAGCATGACATAAGAGCAAAGCACACGATCAACTTCTGAAGTTTTTTTGGGTATGAAAACATAGTTCATCAAGATATATGAATACCTGATTCCATGGCGCAGAATGATAATGATGGAAGATGATTAAAGCAACAAGTAATAATATCTACCAGAAAGAAAATCGCAGAGATGAATACCAGAACGATCAGAAAATTGGGATGAAAGAAAAACTGGAAGTAGGCGGTTGATAATGGAAAGTAACGAACGTGATTTTTGTGCCTTTATAAAATTTAAGTGATTGACCAAATCACCCTCGATCCAAATTAGTTGGCTGTGAGAAATCAAAATAGAAACGGACGGTAATCTTAATCAAACTAATGGATAGGATTAGTTTGTAAGTTAAGCCTAGTTTGTATTTGATCCCTAATCTATATATAGGGAAGAGATCAAATAAAAAGAGGTTCTCCCGTGCAAAGTGCGAACAATTGCACTTTTTCTTCACCGCGTTGCACTTTTGCGTGTTTTTGTTGCACTTTTTCGCGATAGAAAAAAACTTTGTTTTAATTACGAAATTGTCACCACATTTTTGATCAAATTTAGTTCACTTTTGGCTCATTTTGAGCCATTAGATCTCAAAATGAACGCACGAGATTAATTCTCACTTTGCATGGGAAGACCTCTTTGTATTTGAACCCTCCCCTATATATATATATATATATATATATATATATATATATATATATATATATATATATATATATATATATATATATATATATATATATAGGTTTTGGTTCAAATAAGAACATGATCTTAGGAGAGAAATGAGAACGAATCTGGACCGTTAGATTTGCTTTAAGTGAAATTCAATGTGCATTAGATGAAGTTGTAATGTGTATTAGGTGAAATTGAAATGTGCAGCACAAATGGTACAATGTAGTGACATTATGTGAAGCTAAATTGTACATTAGGTGAATTTGAAATGTGCACTAGATGAAACTAAAATGTGCAGAATAAAAGGTACGATGTGATGTTATTTTTGTACTTTTTATTCTGCACAATTCAGTTTCACCTAATGCACATGTGAGTTTAAATTTTAATTCTGCACATTTCAATATCATCTAATGCACATTTCGGTTTCACCAAATGCACAATTCATTCTCATTTCTCTCCTAAGATCCGTTTTTACCGGAACCGCTCCCTATATATATATATATATATCGGGTGCGGTTCCAATGAGAACGATGCTTAACGTGAGGACGTGAGAACACTCACGTTTAACCCAACGTGATACACATTAGAGCCCGTTTGATGCACATTTTGATTTTTCTCCAAACAAGACAATATAAATAATAGCGGTGGTATTTTGGTAAATATTATGCTGAACGTGAAAAGTGCATTAGGCGGGCCTCATTGTGCATCACATCGGGGTAAATGTGATGTTCTCACGTTAAGCTTTGTTCTCATTTGATCTTTAATCTATATATATATATATATATATATATATATATATATATATATATATATATATGTGTGTGTGTGTGTGTGTGTGTGTGTGTGTGTGTGTGTGTGTGTGTGAAGCGGATCAGCTGAGAAGTGCCCTTAGGCTGAGAAGCTGCGAAGTCTAACTTATAAGCAAAAAACACGAACTTTTAACCAAAATATCATAACTTATAGACCCCTTCAAAAACACGAACTTTCTGGAAAAAAAATTCCAGGTTTCTGGAGTTATTTTGACGCGGTAGCATTTTCGTAATTTTTTTGGAGGGGGTCTATAAGTTATGATTTATTGGTTAAAAGTTCGTGTTTTGAGCTTATAAGTTAGACTTCGCAGCTTCTCAGCCTAAGGGGGATTTCTCACATGATCTTTTCTCTCTCTCTCTCTCTCTCTCTCTCTCTCTCTCTCTCTCTCTCTCTCTCTCTCTCTATATATATATATATATATATATATATATATATATATATATATATATATATATATATATATGGGAGGGTTCTAATGAGAACTCTCTTAAAATGAGAACCCATGAGAACCCCAAGGAACCGGTGGTATTTTTGGCTGAAATATTTTGTGTATGTTCCTCATCAAATCTAATTGATCCATACCAAATTTGAGCAAAAAGTTCAATCGGGAAGATCGTCGAATGATTTTTGAAAGAAAACTGCGTTTTATATATATGTATCGGACCAGTTTTCTTTCAAAAATTATTTGACGACCTTCCCAATTGAATTTTTTGCTTAAATTTATTATGGACGATCTAGACTTGATGAGGAACATACACACAAAAATTCAGCCAAAAATACCTCCGGTTCCTTGGGGTTCTCTCGGGTACTCATTTTAAGAGGGGTTCTCACCAGAACCCTCCCCATATATATATATATATATATATATATATATATATATATATATATATATATATATATAATAAGGATCAAATGAGAAGAGTGCTTATCGTAAGAAGTGAGAATGCATATGGTGCGTTCATTTTAAGATTTGTACATCAGATTAGCAAAAAAAGTACACGAGAAAGTGCAAAAAATATTAAAAATGTGATGCTAGACGCGGTGGCATTTTCGTAATTAATCGGAACTTTTCTTCCATCGCAAAAAGTGCATCAGGAATAGGTAAATTTGTAAATTCTCACTTCTCACTTTAAGATGTCTTCTCATTAGAACCTGACTCTATATATATATAATACTTTTGTATTCATGTCTTTAGCTTAATGGTCATTTTACGTCTCAACAGCGCAAACGTTTAAGTTACCAAACAGTTACTTCAACCCGCTAATGACAACGGATAATTAAAATTGCTAGCAGAACCCGCTATATCATTCATATTATACAATCGGCTATCGGCTAACTACCCCATACATTTTTTGTTGTGTCATAGTTTTTTTGGTTTAATAAAAAAAATTACCCTAAATGGGACTAAAACATGACATAATTTCCTAAATAGGGCTTTAAGTTTATTATTCTATAAATATGACTAAAGATTACTCTTTTACCCCGCTTAATTTAATTAAACCCAGGAAGTTGACTTCTCACTGCAATCAATCGATTTCTCTTGATAGGCCTCTATCTATTCATCCGCTTGCGAGTCCTCCCTCTACCACAGACTGCCGCTCCTCCATCATTGTGGCCTCGCACCGCAGCTCCGCCATCGATCGTAGGCTCGCACTCGTTGCCGACACCTTTTATGCGATTTCTCCAGCCAAGCCAGTAGGTGATCTTCTTCGCCCTCTTCTTGTTCTCCTTCTTCCTCCTCCTCTTCTTCTTTTTCTTTGTCCTTTGGTTTCTATTTTTTTAATTTGGTGGCGATAAGATTCTTAATAAAATATTGAAATTGAGAATTTGAGATTAAGTGCTAGACTTCAACGAGCCCTTCAACAAGGAACAAGTGACCCAAAATTTTAGCAAAATGCCACGTTTTAATATGAGAATATCAAAATTATTGGTTGTTTGAAAAAATGGCACAAAAGTGGCAGTACATTTATCACGATGGCAATCTTACTACGAAATTAGATTATTTGTAAATGAAAATCTCAGTTTTGTAATATATATGATGATTACATACTTTTCAAGGAAAATGAGAATCTCAAAATGCATTTGTTTTTCATCTAAAAATTCTACATTTGCACAATCTGAAAATGTCATGTCTATAAAAAATGATATTATTAATATCGAGTGGCATTCTCACCGGAGGCTGAAGAGACTAGTCTGTAGCGCCAACTCCGTCAGAGGATATATGGCGACGGCTGTGAACACAACAAAGGGCGGTGGCGATGACGGATTTGCAGGAGGATGGATGAGGTTTAGTGCGTCCAGTTCTCCCATCATATGTCGAATTAGAAGAGTTGGGCATTGGTGGAGGGGTTGCCGAGAGCTGGGAGAACTCTCACGTACACTTGAGAAACTTTTAATTTTTTTCACTATGAGTCATCCGGAAACAGTCTCTCTGTGCTTTAGTACAGGGGTAAGACTGCGTACATCCGACCCCTCCCCTCTTACCCCACCGTAGGTGGAAGCCTTTGCGGCACTGGGGTAAATGAAAATGATGAAATGATGATAATTTTATCAAATTAGCTCTATCTTTTTAGTTCTATTTTTGTCAACCCTTCAAAATATAGCGGTCCTATTTTTGCAATTCTACCTTATTTTAGTCTTATTTAGGTACATATGATTTACTTCCAAAATATGCGGACAAAAGGTAGATTATGAAAAGTAAACGATAATGATGTTTAAAATTGAGAAAACAGGATTGTTTGGGATTGGGAATAAACTAACAGTGGAATTAGGACAAATAAAACGAGACACTCGGGTATACAAATGCACATAATAAAATCCAAACAAACAAATAAACAAAAGGCGAGCTTTTAATTTTTAACGTTAGCTAGCTTCAATTACGTGTATGCATATATTTGTATGACCATCTTTTTGTGTGACCATATTGACTTTTTTTTTACTCGAGAGGGTCTGGGAACTGGAGTAATCAGGTCTGAAATTCATTCCATTGAGTTTCAAACCTTTATGTGCCTAGCGGGTTTCGAACTCGAGACATCTCACTAGGCACGTTAACCTCACAACCAGCTGGACTGGAATGCTTGGTTATCAACTTTTTCATTATACTCTTCGATTGGGTAAACAGCTAGCATATTGTCATGAGTACTCAACCTGCAACGAGTGACGAGTTCAAACCATTATTAATCTATAGTTAAAAAGTGAACCAATTACTTTATTATAATGTTATTTCACATGCATATTAATAGTGACTAGAATGAAAATAAAACATGTCCATATTACACAATTAAATTAGAAGGCAGTGGCGGACCCACTAAGGGTCCCACGGGGTCCCGGGACCCCATGGACCTAAAAAAAATACCTATATATATTTGTATATATTTTACATAAAATTATGTAATCAGTGTATTTATACAATTGAAACTAGTTTAGAACGCAAATATGGAGCTAGAGCAACGGTTGGATGTCCAATCTCAAGGCTCTACATGTGCGGGAGGTTGAGGGATTGATTCCTTTGGAAGTCTACTTTTTTGAAAATAAAATTATGGAACAACTTGGGGTACCTATTGTTATCATGCACCTCTATAGCCCAACTTTTTATCTAAATCTAATTTTCTCAACCTATACCCAATTTTTTCCATAACAAATACTATTATAAAGCGAGTATGTATCCCCAAATTTGAGCTTATCTGTTTTATAAACTAATTTCATCATGAAACACGTAATTTTTGAATTTGTAATAATTAAAATAAGCAAGTTAAAATCATTTTTTCGGCGAGATGACTGAAGTTACCGTAAGAACATCATCTTAGCCACTTTTTCAGGTGACTTTTTTTCATATCTTATAACATACTATCCTCCGTATCACATTATTTACAACATTGGAATACATTATTCATATACTTTACTTTGACTACATTTTATTTATTAATGTATGTGATTTTTTTTTGAAAAATATTGTTAAATCCGTCTCATTATTAAGTCTTATAATCTGATTTTTATTTTATTTTTACTAATATAGAATTAAATATAATGACGGTCAAAGTTGTGCGCTGGCAAACGTGAAATGTTGACTGTTGCAACTAAAAAGAGACGGAGGAAGTATAATTTAAATATCATTATTTCCTAATGATAGAGTATATCTCCTAGATTCTAGAGAGAAGTGAGAGCTAGAGAGAGAAGTGCAATAATATGCTTCAATAGAATGAATTTGTAACCCCTATAACTACTCCCAAGGGGAGTATTTATAGAGAAAATTAGGGTTGGGCTCCCAAGCCTTGGGCTTGGGAGGCCCATTTACAACTGGACCGCTACTAGGCCGAATACAAAGCCTCTAATGGGCTGTACAAATGAGCAAGTATAGAATCCGATTCTGGGAGGTCTTCGTGGCCGACGAGGGCGCGGCCGACGAGGGCACGACCGACGAGGGCACGGCCGACGAGGGCACCCGGGTTCCTTGGATTCAGGACCACAATCCGAGTTGGCTTCTTCTCGGCCGACGGGGGCGTCTTGGCCGACGAGAGCGCCACTCTGTTGTCTTGTGCTTTCTGTTCTTCCGAGTATGTGGGTCCTGGGGCTCAGACCCATATACTCCATCAGGAGTCCCCCACTCTCTAAGCTGAGACGTAGGCGAAGTGAAGGAGAGTAGATTTCTGTGCTTTGTGCTTTTGGCCGACGCGGGCATCTCCAGGCCGTTAGCCGTTGCGGTACTGGCGCTGTTTCCATTTTGGTGATCCTGTTCTGTGCTTTGGCCGTTACCTGTTCCTCGCTGTGGGCGGGGAGGCCGTTGTTTCGTTAATTTGTTTTGGGACGATGAGTGTCCTTCTTTCAATGGTGGCCGTTGAAGGCGCGTTTTCCCTTTCCTGGCCGTTGGTGGTTGAAGTTTATGTTTGGGCCGGTGAAGCCGTTGAGGTTGTTCCTTGCTTTGATGGACGATGGCCTCATTTCCTTTGTGTGGCCGTTGCTGGTTGGCCGAAGAGCCTGTCAAGATTAATTGTTGGCGGAGGACGATGAGTGTCCTTGCCTCTAGTGGCTTGTTGGCCGTTGTTAGTGACGTTATGGGCCTTTGGCCGATGAAGTTCCGTTGTGCTGTGTGGATGATGTGGCCATGCTTTGTGGTTACCTTGTTCACACTCTTTTGTTTTGTTGAGGCCGGTGTAGTCCCCCAGTCCCCCACTGCTTCAGGCCGAAGAGTGTGAGGGGTGAAGGAGTTGCTTGAGTCCCTGGCCGAAGCGGTCTCGCCGTAGTCCCCCTGAATCCAACTCTCATGGCGATTTTCTGGCCAAGGTAACCCTGTGGGAGAACCCTTGTGCGCAGATCGCTTGTAGAGAGTTATCATCAAGGGTTATTACAAGGAGCCGAAGGCTGTGGGCTATTTGTCCCCTTTGTTCTGTGGCCGTTACGTTCCTGGCCGTTGCCATCCTCTTATTGTTTGGCATTTGTGATCTTGGTGAGCAAGTGGGACGTTGTGGGCGCTTGCTGGCAGTTGTAAAGCCGCTGAGCGTGTGTAGGCCGTAGAGTCTGATTTGCCGGTGGGCCGTTGATATGGGTTGGTCCTGGCCCGTTGGTGACGTGGTGGCCTCCCAGTGGTGGCCGTTGATGTGGCCATTGGGAGAGTGCCACGTGTAGTGACCGTTGGTGGGGGGGTCTATAAATACCCCTTCCCCTCCGACGAGGAATCACATTTGCATTCTGAATTTGTCGAAGTGCTGGCCGATTTTCTAGAGAGATAAACTCCCAAGCCTGTTCTTCGTGTTCTTCCTTGTTCGAGGTTAGTGTTCATCACGATCTTCCTCGCTTTACATACTTTGCTTCCTAGGTAGTTGATCTAGTGTTAGGCGTTTGAACGCCTTTAGATCTTAAGTTGTTCTCCTTAAGCCCGTAGTAGTAGTAATGAAGAGCTTGAACGAGGACTACTACCCCTACGACGACCAGCCCTCCACGAGGTCGCTTGACTACGAGGTGCTCGAGGAGTTTGAAGAGGAGATAGAGCGTTTGAGCCCTTACAAATCCGGAGAGCTGATGGACGAGGAAGGCGAGGACGAGGAGTCCGCCTCCTCTTCAGAGGGTGAGGACGTAGGCGCGTCCCGAGCGGTGGACGGGGCGTCCACTTCTGCTGTCGTTCCGTGCCCGAGGCCGGTGTCTGCCGTGAAGGGAGCAGCTAAGCCGAAGAGGGTGAGGAGGCCGAAGAATGGGCCGGGCCTCTCCTACTTGGACCTCACCAACATATTCCTGATCAAGCCGGAGAGCAGTGCGGCCGACTATCTTGTCGCCCAAATGTACGTGGGGCCGTTCGGGCGGGTTAGGGCACCCAGGCCGACGGACCATGTTCTACTTCCGCCACCGGGATACTTTGGAGTATACCCGATGAGCTTTGCTAAGGGGTTGAGGTTCCCCCTCCACCCTTTCGTCATTGAGTATCTGGACATGATGGGGCTTCCTCCGGCCTTGCTGACGCCGAACAGTTATTCCTTGATGGTGGGCTTTTTACTTCGATGTGAGGAGTTGGGCTTCAGGCCGACCACGGCCTTATTCATGAACTTGTACCAGATCGGCCGAGGAAGCCACAAGAACTGTGCGGCCTACGCTACTCTTCAACAGTTGCCGAGGAAGAGGAGCTTCACGGATTTGCCCACGTCCATTCATGGGTGGAAGAGCAAGTTCGTGTTTGTGTCCATTGGTGAAAGTGGCACCGAGTTCCCCTCTCTCGGCCATACCGGGAGGTTCAATCTCCATGACCCGCCGAAGAGCTCTATTTTGGACGCTCAGGTAGAGGCTTTCCTGGAAGGAGGGCCGAGGAGCGTGAAAGATTACGTCACTGAATACAAGATGACCGCCCTCGGCTTCTTCAGATATCACCTGTATGGGGATAAGGAGGATGACCTCCAACTCTGGCCGAGGATGACCACCACCTTTGAGGAGGCCGATGGCCCGGATTTGGGCATTCCTGCTGAGGCCGATGGTAATTTTTTCTTCGGCTTTCTGTCTTTATGTTTTGTCCTTTGCCTTACTAATCTGTTTGTTTTTCCTTTGTAGACTTTGTCATGGACCGACGTTCCATAATGGCTGTTGCCAAGGCCAAGGCGGCCGAGGAGCTGGCTGCCAAGGCGGCCGAGGCGGCCCGACGTGCCGCTGCTGGTGGGAGCGGGGCTACTGCTGATGCGGCCCCAAAGCCTGCCCCATCAAAGAAAAAGAGACCGGCCACTGACGGCCAGAAAAAGCTGACTGAGGCAGGCGTGAGCGTCTCTAAGAAGACGAAGAGGGCTCCTTCCCCTTCTCCGGCTAGTGAGGCCGGTACTCTTACTGTCCCCAGCGTGGGCGATGGTGGTCCCGTCGTGGACCTTACTGTTGCAGACGATGC